TGGTTTGGTTGCTATATAGTATCTGTTTGGTTTGAACTAAATTATAGTAATAATTTGTTGGAGAAGAAAAATAAATGAAATATTTATTTTAAATATTTATTTTAAGGGTAAATATGTCCATTTAACATTTTATGAGAGAAAAGAGCCACCTAAATAATTCAGGGGGAAAAAGTGCTATAAGTATATAACTCAGGGGGAAAAAGTGTCATTTTCCCTTAATAATATATAAAGAAGATAAAGAAGATAAAGATTATATATATTATTATTTGCCAAATGCATGGGAAATTGGAAATGAAGGCTAATGCTTTATTTTTAATTTATAAAAATAAAATCTTGTAATATAATTCATATTGTAATCTATGTATCTATCTATACATCAATACTATATATACTATATATATAAAAACAAAATCCTGCAATTTTAACTTCCCGCCCAATTCCTAAAAAATCTCTCTTGCTAATAAAATATATTGATTTCTACTTTCTTATTCGTACAATAATTCTGGGTTAAAATTCTATCCTAATATTATAAAATACTGTAATATAATTCCTATTGTAATATATCTATCTATCTATACATCTATACTATATATAAAAACAAAATCCTGCAATTTTAACTTCCCGCCCAATTCTTAAAAAATCTCTCTTCCTAATAAAATATATTGATTTCTACTTTCTATTCGTACAATAATTCTGGGTTAAAATTCTATTCTAATATTATAAAATACTATAATATAATTCCTATTGTAATCTATCGATCAATCTATACATCTATACTATACATCTATGTTATATAATTTTTTTATAATCTTTTATATGTTATGCAGTAGTGTAATATTTTATGTAATAAATACTTTTAATAACATAACATATTATAATAACTAAACTTTTAGAATTATCAATTAATTTAAATGTTGAGATGTTTAATTTCAACTTGTAAAGTTAATTAAATTAGACTTTTACCAATTGTTCTTACTTAAATAATATAATAATAATAATAACAATAACAATAACAATAACAATAACAATAATAATGATATGATATCGGTTATTCCAAAAAACTAACGTCGTATATAAAAGAAACGTAGGACCTGTTCCATCTATATCGTTTCTTAACGATGAGATCTTTTGCTGATCGAAAAAAAAAATTAAAAACTCATGGGCGAATGTTTGAGGTTTTGTCCATTAGAGTTATATCCGCCTTACTTGCACGATCTTGCCCGATCGAGTGTTACATCTATCTCGCTTCTTAGTGATGAGGCCTCTTGCAGGCTGTTAAATAACAATTGGATGTAGAATTATTTGTCATGTTTTTCTCCCTACAAGATGGCTTTTTTGTGAAGAAAAAAAAAATGGTGTGTTGTAACATGCCCATGCTGAGCGGGTGTTTTTTGCTTCGGCAACAAACTCAAAATTGTTTTCTATTTATATTATTTTTAAATAACACGAATTTGTTGGCTTAAACTCTTTTATTTGAATTTTTCCATTTTTTTTATTTAATTTTGTTATTTCATCTTTTATATGTTATGCAATACTGTAATTTTTTATGTAATATATACTCTTAATAACATAACATATTATATTAATTAAAATTTTTCAATTATCAATTAATTTAAATGTTGGCATGTTTAATTTAAACTTGTAAAGTAAATTAAATTAGACTTTTTACCAGTTGTTACTTAAAAAATAATAATAATAATAATAATAATAATAATAATAATAATAATAATAACAACAACAACAACAAGAACAAGAACAACAACAACAAGAACAACAACAACAACAACAACAACAACAACAACAACAATAATAATAATAATAATAATAATAATAATAATAATAATAATAATGATAAGATATCGGTTATTCCAAAAAACTAATGTCGTATATAAATGAAACGCAAGAACGGTTCCATATATCCCGCTTCTCATCGATGAGACCTTTTGCTGATCAAAGAAAAATAAAATTAAAAACTCATGGGCGGCTGTTTGAGGTTTTGTCCGTTAGAGTTATATTCGCCTTACATGCATGATCTTTCCTGGTCGAGTGTTACATCTATCCTGCTTCTTAGCGATGAGGCATCTTGCAGGTCGTTAAATAACAATTGGAAGTAGAATTATTTGCCATATTTTTCTCCCTACAAAATGACTTTTTTTTGGGAAGAAAAAAAATGGTGTGTTGTAACATGCCCATGCTGAGCGGGTGTTTTTTGCTTTGACAGCCAACTCAAAATTGTTTTATATTTATGTTTTTTTTTTTAAAAAAAAAATAACACGAATTTGTTGGCTTATGCAAATCAAATGTTTTTTCTTTTATTTGATTTTCCCCATTTTTTATTTAATCTTTTATATGTTATGCAATATTGTATTTTTTTTGGGGAATAAATACTTTTAATAATATACTATAATAATTAAACTTTTTTAATTATCAATTAATTTTTTTTTTTTTTTTGAATGCTACTAGCTCTATTACATTGTAGTATCTGTTCATATACTTTCTCAACCTACTGAAACACAAAGAGCTAATAACGCCTCCACTGAGGCTCGAACTTACAACCTTCCAAATGGAAGTCCAACCCAGATACCATTAGACCACATAGTCCTGGTAATTACCAATTAATTTAAATGTTGACATGTTTAATTTAAACATGTAAACTCTATTAAATTAGACTTTTACCAGTTGTCGTTGTTAATAATAATAATAATAATAATAACAACAACAACAACAACAATAACAATAACAACAACAACAACAACAACAACAATAATAATAATAATAATAATAATAATAATAATAATAATAATAATAATAATAATAATAATAATAATAATAATAATAATAATAATAATGATACGACGTTGGTTATTCTAAAAAACTAACGTCGTATATAAATCAAGCGTAGGAACGGTTCCATATATCCCGCTTCTCAGCGATGAGACCTTTTGCTGATCAAGAATATAAAATGAAAAACTCATTTGTGACTTTTTGATGTTTTGTCTGTTAGAGTTATATCCGCCTTACCTGCACGATCCTGCCTGGTCGAGTCTTACATCTATCCCGCTTCTTAGTGATGAGGCATCTTGCAGGTCGTTAAATAACAATTGGAGGTAGAAGTGTTTGCCATATTTTTCACCCTATAAAATAACTTTTTTGGGAAGAACAAAAAAAAAATAGTGTGTTGTAACATACCCATGTTGAGCGGGTGTTTTTTCCTTCGCCAGTCAACTCAAAATTGTTTTATATTTATGTTTTTTTTTTAAATAACACGAATTTGGTGGATTTTGCAAATCAAATGTTTTTCCTTTTATTTGATTTTTTCCATTTTTTATTTAGTTTTGTTATTTTTATCTTTTATGCAATGTTATGCAATAGTGTAATTTTTATGTAATAATTCTTCTAATAACGTATTATAATAATTAAACTTTTTGAATTATCAATTAATTTAAATGTTGACATGTATAATTTAAACTTGTAAAATAAATTAAATTAGGCTTTTACCCGTTGTTGTTAAATTAAACTTGTAAATAATAATAATAATAATAACAACAACAACAACAACAACAATAATAATAATAATAATAATATTAATAATATTAATACTAATAATAATAATAATAATAATCATGATACAACATCGGTTATTCCAAAAAACTAACGTCGTATATAAATGAAATGCAGGACCGATTGCATCTATCTCGCTTCTCAATGTGAGTATTATTATTATTATTATTATTATTATTATTATTATTATTATTATTATTATTATTATTATTATTATTATTATTATTATTATTATTATTCTTGTATAATCTATAGTTAGCAAATGTATGGTGTTAGAATAAGTCTGTGGTTAGTATCCTATTAGATAGGAGTGATTAGAGGTATACTCAGATATACACTCTTGTAATCTATTTGTTGTAACTATATTGAATTTGAATTCTCTCATCTGGTATCAGCCTATCGATCCATCCTCTCCCCTCTTTTCACCGCAAACACCCCTCCATATCTATGTCGTCCAATTCGTCGGAGCGTACGCTGTCCGCCGCCGGTGGCACGTCTCCGGCGAGTCCAAACCCCCTTGCCGGCGCACACCACTTCATCTCAATGAAGTTAACCTCATGCAACTTCTTATTTTGGAGAACTCAACTCATTCCCTTCCTGAGAGGGCAAGACTTGATTGGTTTGTCGATGGTAGCACCCCATGTCCGGCTGCCACGTTGAGCGCTGCCTCCGGCGGTTCCAGTTCCAGCGCCACGACTGCGGAGCCTACCCCTAACCCGGCGTATAAGACATGAGTGTTGCAGGATCAATCGATCCTATCCTTGTTGATCTCCTCAATGTCCAACGAAGTTCTCCATCTTGCGGTTGGCCGGAATACCACCGCCGAGGTCTAGCGTTCGATCTATACTGCCTTGGGCTCCAACACTCAGGCGAGATGCCTCAACCTGCTAGGACAGTTTCAAGCTCTCCGGCAGGGCAACGCGACTTCGACGGATTACCTCAGACGAGCGGAGCTGCTTGTCGAAGCCCTTGCTCAGGCCGGGCAGCCGCTGTCCATGGCGGAGCAGAACCTCTACGTGCTGAGAGGTCTTCGTCCGGAGTACAGGTCGTATGCTCCCTCCCTCACCGCCAACGCGCCGGTCTCGCTCCCTCAGTTGGCAGATTACCTTCACGCTGCCAATTTTATCCTTGCAGATGATTACCCCGTGGAAGGCGGCAGCGGCGGCTCTCACACGGCGTTATATGCAGGTTGTGGCAGTGGTGGCCAAAGCTCCGGTAGTCAGAATGGAGGTGATGGCGGCCGGCGTGGTGGTCGTAATAATCGCGGTGGCCGTGGCAGACGATGTGCACCGTGTTGCCAGATTTGTAGGTCGTAGGGGCACACAGCGGTGTATTGTTACAAACGCTACACGACGCAACCCCCCGCGCAAGCTCATGTTCCGGTCTCCGGTGAATCCCCGGCAACAACCGCACCACCGGCCGACACGTGGTACACCGACATGGGTGCCACGGCGCATGCCACTCCTGACGCCGGCATGGTGGCCTCCTCGGAAGATTATAGTGGCCCGAACACGCTCCGGGTTGGAAATGGTACATGTTTAGTTATCTCGCGAGTTGGCCAAATTGAAACATGTGCTCCATCTCAACTAAAAGCCTAAGCTCATAGTTGGATACACATTAATGGATATATGCTCACACGCCCCCTCACGTGTACGGTGAATTCCAACCAACACGTGGACCGGTAAACCGTAGTCGCTTATGAGTGGCGCTGCGATTCGAACCCATGACCTTTGGTCTGGCTCTGATACCAAATTGAAACATGTGCTCCATCTCAACTAAAAGCCTAAGCTCATAGTTGGATACACATTAATGGATATATGCTCACAGGCCATGCATCGATCCCGTCAATGTCCAAACAGTTGTTTCTATCTAATGTGTTACATGTCCCTAAATTGACCGTCCCCTTATTATCTGTCCAGAAATTTGCTAATGAAAATAGTGTATTCTTTGAATTTCATGATAATTGTTTTATTGTGAAGGATTCCAAAACCAAGGCGGTGCTCCTTAAAGGCCCGACCTTCGGAGGTCTATACAAGCTACCTGTGTGTCGGAGTCATTTTGCGTTCGTTAGTTCCCGTGCTACGCTGGCGGTTTGGCATCGCAGGCGCGGTCATCCACACAATCTAGTCCAGAATAAAATTTTTCAACACTGCTCGGTCAATCAAAATAACACTAGTTTCGGGTCATGTACGGCTTGCCACCTCAGCAAGTCTTCTCGTTTTAAATTAGATATGATAAACAATTCTAGCCAAAATGTATTAGACTTATTGTATACGGATATCTGGGGGCCTGCTCCAGTAATCTCGTCTAGTGGGTTTTGTTATTTTCTTTTGTTTGTTGACGACTACTCCCGTTTTTGCTGGTTTTATCCATTAAGGGTAAAATCAGACATCTATAAAATTTTTGATGTGTTTCGCGTGTTGGTAGAGCGGCAATTCTCGCGCTCTATCAAGTCTATACAATTGGATTTAGGGGGTGAGTACCGCAAACTACATACCACGTTTCAGTCCCTAGGTATCAATCACCGTCAATCTTGTGCTTACACGCACGAACAAAATGGAAGAGTTGAGCGCCGTAACAGACATATTGTTGAAACGGGCTTAGTTCTTCTTACTCAAGGGTCTATCCCACAACAATATTGGGATCACGCGTTTGAAACTGCTACGTGCCTAAACAATTATCTCCCATCCTCAGCCTTAAATTTTGAAAGTCCATACTTCCGACTCCATAAAAAGTTACCACCCTACCATTTCTTACGAGTCTTCGAGTGCTTATGTTACCCCTATCTAAGGCCGTACAATCGGCATAAGATAGAGTTCCGTTCCACTCCCTGCGTCTTCCTGGGTTACCCTCCATCCTTTCGAGGGTACAGGTGCATGGACCTAACTAGTGGGAAAACTTTACATCTGTCGCCATGTGCGGTTTGACGAATCTATCTTTTCCTTTGCCATAGGTACATCACCGCGGGTTGTTGAGCCACAGCTCGTGCCATGGGCGGCTGGACCCATAGTACTGGTCCACGCTGCATCAACAGGCATACTGCTGCTCCTTTACCACACGACTCTGACCCTGTGCCGTTAGCTCAGGAGACCCCACATTTAGCCATTGAGCCCTCTACTGCACCGTCTCGGGGGCGAGGTCGGGGACGGGGTCGAGGTCGGGGTCAGGCTCAACCTCAAGACCGGGAGCATGTCATGCGGCTCCGACACATAACCCAAGGCACTAATGAAGAATTACAGGCCCTAACTGCAACGACACTTGATCCAACATGCTACTCCAAGTTGTTGGGCACCCGCATTGGCGGGATGCTATGGTCCAGGAGTTCAATGCTCTACTCCATAACAACACCTGGCGTCTGGTCCCACCTGATCCTACCATGAATATTATCGGGTGCAAGTGAGTGTTTTGCACTAAACGCACTGCAGATGGCTCAGTGGAACGACACAAAGCACGCCTCGTTGCTAAAGGGTTTAACCAGGTAGCCGGATAAGACTTCTCCGACACCTTTAGCCCGGTGGTAAAACCAACCACGGTCCGCATGTTTTTTTTCATTGGCAATCACCAATAAGTGGACTCTACGACAGCTAGATGTCCATAATGCCTTCCTAAACGGGTACTTAGCAGAAACAGTTTACATGAAACAACCACCAGGGTATGAAGACCCGGCTCATCCTGGTCACGTCTGTCTCTTGCAACGGTTCCTCTATGATCTTAAGCAAGCCCCGCAGGCATGGTTTAAGCGGCTTCACGACATCTTACTTTCTGCAGGTTTTTCCGCGTAAAAAATAGATGTGTCTCTTTTTTACTACATCGCCGATGGGTGTCAGGTATTCATCCTTGTCTACGTTGATGACATCATCATGATGGGCAGTAACGCTACCCTAGTGAGCACTTTGCTAGGTCGTCTTGCTTCTGCTTTCAAAATCAGGGACCTTGGTAAACCAGGGTTTTTCTTAGGCATTAAAACTGTTGAAGTTAGTGATGGTATGATCTTGTCCCAGCGTCGCTACATGACCAACTTGTTGAATAGGGCTGGGATGGTTGACTGCAAACCGCTTGCTACTCCCGCATCGACCACACAGTCGGTTACTCCGTCCGATGAGCCGTTTGATAATCCGACTCAGTATCGTCGTATTGTTGGAGTGTTACAGTATCTCACTATTACTCGGCCTGATTTGTCATATGCCGTTAATCACCTGTGCCAGTTCATACATTCTCCGTCTACTGATCACTGGGCCATAGTCAAACGTGTGTTGCAGTATATCAAGGGCACTCTGGACTATGGGCTACGCCTGAGTTCGTCTCCTACTGCTTCCATCCATGCCTATTCAGACTCCGACTGGGCTGGTTGTCCGATTGACAGGAAGAGCACCAGTGGATATGCTGTCTTTCTCGGGTCCAATTTCATCTCGTGGCTTTCCCGAAAACAACGGACTGTGGCACGCTCCTCGACTGAAGCAGAATATAAAGCTTTGGCTGATGTTGCGGCTGAGGTTACTTGGGTTGTCTCTCTGTTGCGTGAGCTAGGGCTACATACGGGGCAGCCGTCCAATTTGTGGTGTGATAATTTAGGGGCAACGTATCTATGTGCCAATCCGGTTTTTCATGCTAGAACGAAGCATGTTGAGATCGACTATCACTTCGTTCGTGACAAGGTTGCGACGGGGGAATTTGTGGTTATTTTGTTTCAACCAAGGACCAGCTAGCTGATGTCTTCACTAAGCCGCTACTGGGACCAAGGTTCACTGCTCTTCGAGACAAGCTCAACGTTATTTCTCACCATCCTTGTGCTTGAGGGGTGTGTGATTATTATTATTATTATTATTATTATTATTATTATTATTATTATTATTATTATTATTATTATTATTATTATTATTATTCTTGTATAATCTATAGTTAGCAAATGTATGGTGTTAGAATAAGTCTGTCGTTAGTATCCTATTAGATAGGAGTGATTAGAGGTATACTCGGATATACACTCTTGTAATTTGTTTGTTGTAACTATATTGAATTTGAATTCTCTCATCCTCAGTGATGAGACCTCTTGCTTATCGGAAAAAATTGAAAATCTCATGGCCGGTTGTTGGAGGTTTTGTATGTTAGAGTTATATCCGTCTTACCTGCACGATCTTGCCCGGTCGAGTGTTACACTTTTGCCCAACAAATTACTTTTTCTATTGGGCATCAATTAAAGCTATTTCACAAGAGAGAAAGACAATTTTGCTCAACAATTTACTTTTATCTCTATATGGCATCAATTAAAGCCGTTTCACAACGCGCAACGAGCGTATCACGGCTAGTAAATCGGATCGTTATAACCTGCACCATGGCGCGCACAGCACTGTGCGCCCCGCGCCTCCCAAAACGACGTCATTTTGGTAAGTTATGTAGGGAGTTGACGTGATTATGTGTATTTGTTTATACAATTATGTTTATTTTTTATACAATTATGTGTATTTGTTTATACAATTATGTACATTTTTTATACAATCATGTACATTTTTTTTTATACAATTATGTACATCTTAAACAGAAAATTTATGTGTATTATGTTAAGAGTTGATGTTTGTTATGTTAAAAGTTTATGTATATTATGTATTATGTTAGATAATATGTATTATTTTTTTAAAAAAAAATATGTGTATTTTGTTATACAATTATGTACATTCATGTATACAATTATATGTATTCTGGTATAAAATTATGTACATTTTTAAACATGAGATTTTTTTAAAAGAAAATTAACTACCAACACAAAGTAGCAAAATTTCAAAAAAAAAAAAAATCTGAAACGACATCGTTTTGCATCAAGACATACAGTACGCACCCTGGTGCAACATATAAATTGCCTAGTAAATCATTAAATTGTCGTATCATTTCGGCCTTCGAGTGGAATGGTTTGGCCCAAATATGTTTTGGTTTTAGCTCCCTGAAAGTAGTAAAATTACAGAAAATCCCCCAACTAAAACAGCAAAGCGGCAAAGCCCCACTTTACTTCTTTTCCAAGCTCCCCCTCCCTGCGAGAATAAGATCTCTACTTGTTCTTAGATCATCGGGCAACCCTAATAGTTTGCAAATCTTTTCTTGCGGTTAGGCTCTGATATCTGCAATGGTGAAGTCAACGACGGATGTTCCGGCCAAGGGCGGTTTTAGCTTCGATTTGTGCCGAAGGAATGAGATGCTCGTGAAGAAAGGGCTTCAGCCTCCGTCTTTCCTCAAGACTGGAACTACCATCGTGGGATTAATTTTTCAGGTATTTACTACCCCTTTTTCGAAATTCGATTTTTAATTCATTTTTAACAAAATTTGAATTTAATGTTACCTGTGTGGGCAAATGTTTATGTTAATTTCAAAGTTTCTGCCTAGTTTTTTTCCTAGATGATAATTTGATACCTATTGAGTTACGATTTCCCATTAAACTGTTATTTGTGTTATGAATGTGATCTTGTGAGTAACATTTATATATTTTGGGCGAAATCAATTTCTTAGAGCTGATAATCTGATGCTTTTGAGTTATTTTAGTCTACTATGCTTTTACTTGTGCAAAAGCAAAATTAATTGGATCTTCTATGAATAAGGCAGTAAACTTAAAAAGTTTAGTAGTTTATAGTCCACTTTGCAGTGGGGACCTGGGTACATTCATATTATGTGCGTTGCTTGCAGTTAATGGATTATGTACTTATAAATAATAAATTGAAGGCACACTATGTGAACTTCAGGCACATAATATATTAATTGCATATACATGATATGTTAATTATCGTAGGCACATAATTTATTAACCGAAGGTACATAATATGTTAACTTGAGGCTATGAATGTCGTTTTAGACCCGGGTCCAAAATGGAAGTTGGACTTGGTCCATGGTATAACAAGTGTAGTTTGTTGAGGATAATGGATCTCTCGGAGTTTCTGGACAAGATGGTTAATATTTCATTTGGAGAGGTAATTATTTGAAGTCAAGGGCTTCAGAATATGGCTGACTTGTATTGACAGTTATTAATAAGTGGCTGGCTTGCAGAGTATAACTATTTTCATTCTTGAAAGGAAACCTTTGAAATCTTCCATATGCTGCTTGTGATTTTGTTCCCGGAAATATAATTATGCAGTTTGTCTGATGGTCCTGCACTGACTACTGGTTTCTAAATTCTATTGCATGGATTGTCATGGATTCATTGTATATGATTAATTAATTTTGGCCACTCTATCAATTAGGAATAACTTCTGATAGATTTGACTCTCACTCAACAACCATTGGTTGAAATTGGTTCTGTTGGGTATCAGTTGTAATGAACTTCTTAATTGTAAAGCTGTCCAACTCAACTGTCTAATTTATATCATGCATGGAATTATGTATCTTTTCTTCAACCATTGGCATACTTGTGTTAGAAGAGTGGTTAATCTGCTTACTCCAGTGAAGCTCCTGTCAAAAGTTTGGTAATCAATCTCATTACTATTTACTAAACAAGAATACAAGATCATCATTAACAATGACTTAAAATGAGGATAATTGACACAGACTTTAGTTTTCTTTCAAACTAAGTGATTCATGATGTTGAATGGATGGCCACTGGATAAACTTTAATTTGTTGCCGTGGGAACTTGCACTATTTTCACTCTCTTTATAGCAGCTTCCTCTCATCTTTAGTTGTGCCCTTATCAGTCAACTTCCACCTTATCATTCATGCATTACATAGTTATTACTGCTTGGCTGTTGATATAGCTTTCATGACATCCACTGTATTCAAGGTTTTGGTAATCCTTGCTTGCTGAATTGAAAGATACTTACCTTTTTGGTAATGACATGTCCTCAGGATGGTGTTATTCTCGGAGCGGACACACGAGCCACTGAAGGACCCATAGTTGCTGATAAGAATTGTGAGAAAATTCACTACATGGCTCCTAATATTTATTGTTGTGGAGCAGGGACTGCTGCTGATACCGAGGCTGTAACTGGTATGCCTTTTTTTTTTTTTTTACCACATGGTGCATCAGCAATGATACACCCATGTTCTATTATTATTATTATTATTATTAGTGCATAGTGGGATTCATGGGTAGTTATAACACAGTAATGGGGTAGTGGGTAGTTTTATGATCCTGTATATATAGCTATCTATGTATTTGAAGAAGGGACTGAAGAATATATATTGAATTTGTCTGGTGACATTCTCTTCTCCTTTTCTGGAGTTGGGCTGCCACTCAAAGCACAACCATGTCTTTTCTCTCCTGCTTTCTGGAGTTTAGTTCTTGACTCGAAGAAGAGCATTCCCATACAACCCCAGGGTTGTATCAAGAATCTTTGTTTGATAGTTACAATTGCATAATGTTATTGCTGTCTGTCTGCCTTCATTGTGTTTATTGTGCAATGGTTATTTTCTAGACATGGTCAGTTCCCAACTGAAGCTTCATAGATATCACACTGGCCGTGAATCCAGGGTTGTGACAGCTCTTACACTTTTGAAGTCCCATCTTTTCAGGTGAGTTTATTTTCATGTTTGTCTCCCTTGAGTCTTCAATTTTCCTATATGTAGGTAATATTGCATTTGTGCAAGGGCTAACTATATTATAAATCAACCAGTCACCAAGGATATGTTTCAGCTGCTTTGGTTCTTGGGGGAGTTGATATCACTGGTCCTCATTTGCACACTGTGAGTAACTTTAAAATCCAATCCCATCAATTCTTCTTTGTATCACACGGTTTAATTGTGAATTATTTCACAGATTTATCCGCATGGTTCAACTGACACACTGCCATTTGCTACAATGGGCTCTGGTTCCCTAGCAGCAATGTCCGTCTTTGAGTCAAGATACAAAGAAGGGCTAACTGTAAGTACATTTGCTTGTGTATTTATTTGTTGCATTAGGGCTCCAGTTGGAATTTTCTTGAGCGTTGAGGGGAAATTTTATTGCAGAGGGAAGACGGAATTCAACTGGTGACAGATGCGATACTGGCAGGAATTTTCAATGATCTGGGCAGTGGAAGCAATGTTGATGTTTGTGTTATAACAAAGGTGCTTTTCTGGAACATATAATAGTGATGAAGAATTTTTGCCTTGGTATGTTTCAACCTTGTTGAATATGATTACTAATTTTTCTGAAGTTGTCTACTCTTTGTTCTTTAGGGGCATGCAGAATACATTAGAAACCACAAGTTGCCGAATCCCCGAACCTATCCTCAGAAGGGTTATGTCTTTCCTAAAAAGACTGGTCAGTGTTCACTTATTCAACATTTTACTCTTGAAGTAAAGGCTTGAGGTTGGATGGAAAACTTTTTTCTTTTTCGTTAAATTTTAGGAAAATGGGGACTTTTCCTCCGTTTGGTTCACAGGGAAAAGTTTTCATGGAACTTGGGAACAAAGTATCACATGATACGACTATTTTGCCCCTGGAACATTCTGAATTACCTTAGACCAAAATGTGTATAATAATTTTTATTATATTATTAATTTATTATAATAAAATATATAATTATAATATTTTAATTTATAATATTGTATTTTCTAAATAATAATATTTTAATTTAAAAATCACTATTACTTTTATTATCATTATCATTGTGTAAGGGCATTTTAGTCTTTATATTTATTATTTCTTACCATTCTAACCCCAACCAAACAATAGAATTAATATTCCTAGTAATTTCTTTTCTACCAACCAAACAATAGAATCAATTTTTTTGGTAATTTTTTCCCCATGAAATT